GGTGTTATATTGTATTGTTAGCATTAGTGGTCATTTAACTGAGTGAGTAGTTTTAAGAGTGAGTATATAATGCACATTTTTATTAAGCATTGTTTTTAGTCAGGAGGCTACAGCTGATGAATCATCCATTCAAGGAAGTCAAGCCTAAGCAGGTATCAACTCTTATTCTGTGGCTTATTGATGTTACTGGGGCAGAAGTTGCAGGTTATTACATTATCTCAGACCATTGGCTCGAATGTAGTTTAACTGGTGACTTGGTAAATGAGTGAATCCTTCCCTAAGGTGGTCAGAAAACATTCTTCATCTTCTCCCTCCTTTTTCTCCTCTTCCTCCTCCTCTTCTCTTGAAAGCTCTTAAAGAGCTGGAAAACATAGCCCATAAAATTAAACACAAGAGACAATAATTCTTATTTTTGGTGTAATCAGAAAGATAGTGGCTATAATTAGGCACTATAATTTGGAAGTATGTTAAATGTATGTTAAAATGTATGAGAAACATATCTTTTTGCCCATTCCTTCCTATGCCACCGATTGTTTGAGCTTTTGCTGTGTTCCATGTGATTGTGCCACTAGTCCTAACTGCTAATTCTATATCCCCACTGACTTGAAACAAAGCAGCAGGGCTTGCCTGTGGATTTCAGAGGTCCCTACTTCTGGAGGCAATAGTGTGACATCAACAAACACACACTAAACGTATCACCCTCCTTACTGGGACTGCTATTATTATGAAATCTCCCTGTTGGGTCTGCACATAAGAACATGGAGTCCAGTGCAGGAGACTTTCTCAGAAACTGCTGTGGTTATTATCTGAATCTCTTGGGCATTTTTATGCCTCCTTTAATTGTCATTCCCTGAGCATTTTTGTCATTGTCGGAAGAGTTTAGGTCACTTGGGGCTTTTTCATCTCAGATTCAATTTTCTATTTCTTCTACTTTCAGACCTTCCAAGAAATAGTTTTTGGTGGATTTCATTTAATCTCCCTCAGACCTTGGCTTAATGACTTCTGAGAGGTCATCGTGTGTGTCGCTCATTCTTGCCTTTACATCACCTTCCACAGCTATGAGAATGCAGGTGCTCGATTCCCCAGGAATTTCCTTCTTCATTATACTCCTAGGCAGCTTAGCATTATTTCCAACTGTCTGCTCTCTAATACACAGTAATTTTTTCATAAATCACTGGATAAGATACCTTCTCAGTGTTAGTCTTTAAAACATGTATTTTATTTTTAATTAAGTCTATGAGCATGCAGTGGGTGGGGGCCTATGAGCACATGTATGCAGATGGGAGTAGATCCAGAGGTGTCCACCCTGGATCTGGAGATACAGATGATTCTGAGCCACTGGACATGGTGAGTCCATGTGCTGAGACTAACCTCAGGCTCTCTGCAAGAGCAGCACATGCTTTTAACTAGGTGACGCCTTACTACCTAGGCCATCTTTCCTGGGATCTAAGATGGAGCACATTCCCTCAGGTTCCTGCTGATGGCTGGGATATGGTAGGAAATAGCATTGGGGGGTGAGGTAAAAGCCAAGTTGGAAGGATATTGAGGTCAGCATGTGACTTATTTTGTGAATAATTGAAGTTGTATCATAGTAAAACTAAGGCAGCTGTGGAGGAGCATCTGGAGTGAAAGGCCAGGCACGGAGCTCTTTTGCAGTCCTTGAAACATAAGGCAGAGAGGTGTTTAAGGAGATGAGAGAGAAGGCAAGGCAGATAGCAAGCTTTTGTAATGTGGGAAAGATGTGTATAGCAACCTTATATGTTCTCATTCCCAGCAATCTTCCTTTGTTTTTATTGCTTCTCAAGTAGGGTGGATTCAGACAGCATACATCAGCCATGGCTGGTTCAACAAGAGTGTGAAACAGTATTCTGACTGTGAACATTCTGTACTTCCAAAAGTTGGGAAAAAAGAAGGAAGCAATGAAACCTAAGACAATGAGCTAGAATAGAATTCCCAGCATACAAAAGTCTCCATACAGTGTGAATGTCAGCTCCATCTTCCCCAAAATGGAAAAGAAAAACTCCAGCTGGATTGGGAAGGTGGGGGATTCAGAGGGATGCTGTCTTCTGCATTTATCCAGGAGGCTGTGCATTCAGAAGGAAGGCAAGAGTGGGCAGAAGGAACCTTGATCTGTCGTCTGTTGAAAAGTCATGGAGCTTGTAACAGGACTCTGACTGGTACATCAGTGGGAGGGGCGCACTGGAGGGAAGGCAGAAGTAGATCTCACTGAACACACAGAACAGGACAGGAACTGTGATCTGCTCCCTGCCCTCTGGGCATGAGGACCACGCTGAATTCACAGGTGTAGAATGAAGTTCTTCCTTTTCCAAAGAAGTCATAGTTGACATACAGTTCACCTTGGCTAGACTGTGGGGGGGGGCAGATGAAGCTGCGTTCTTAGGGTGCATAAGACCCTCTCTTCATTTCCTTTGTATTGAGAAGCTAAGAGAAAAGGGTGGTACTGGCCCATGTCACTTACTTCGTAAGTGATGAGTGGCAGGAACATGACACAAGAGCCGATTGGATTATAGGTTTTGACATTATCTTTCCAAATGACTGAATATAAGTACCTCTGCTCAAAGCTGTTCCAGCTAATGCTGAACTGAGCTTTCCACCCCTGCCTGGAAGCTTCTTTACCTATCCAAGAGACAGCTGATTAGCATAGAAAAATGCATGTCCTTTCCGTTTGGCCCAGATTTGCTTTCTAAATTAGGTACAGAAGGAGTGAAAATTCTAGCAGATGGATTAATTAGCTAATTGTTTTACAATACTCTAGAAGGCATGTGCTTTGGGGTTTAAGTTTTTCCAGCTCTAAAATAAGGATTGCCTCCTGCACTGCAATGTCACAGCGAACTAGAGAATAGTCTGTAAGCGCTTCAGCTATCTGAAAACAATCTAGGTCTTTATTCCTTTAATTTGTCATTACAGTGTCCTGCAATTGGATATGACAGCTTTATCATTACCAATGATTTGGGTTCGCGGGCATTCAGGCTCCCGTTGGGGGCTTAGAAAATGGCTGGTATTTGTTGTGTGTTATGTGTTGTTCCTCTGGGGGATGGCAGAAAACATGGCCGAGGTCCCCCAGCATTGTTCTGCAAGCAGTATCTCTACACCTTTCAGGCTGCAGTGAAATGGTGTCGAACAGAACTGTCCCCATCGCTCATCATCGCATGTGACTGCTTTCTTGTCACCAATCCTTTTCTCATTAGAATATCTTTGAAGTGTGATGTGAAGTCTTGCCAGCCTTGTGGGTAATTGATTTTTTTTCCAACTTTGCTTTTTGGAAGCAAGAATTTAGCACCTCAGTTATAGCAGCATTTATTTATCCTCATTTATAATTTATAAATGCAGAGAGCAAATCCTAAGTACAAATGCTGCGGCTTATCTACAGTAATGAATGTAAAGGCTTATAGATACTGTGAAATTATATGAATCTATCGTTAGGGGAGGGTTAGTGAATAGCCATCATTTCCCTTGAGATCTTTTTCTATCTATTCTTATTCTTGATACCAGTAAATGATAAAAGGGTCATAGAAATGATTGATTAGATGTTAAGAGAGCAAATCTTTTACAATTTGTCTCTCTGTGTGTATGCAGTCTGTGTTCGCATGTGTATTTTTCTGTATGAACGTGAATGTTGAGAATGGTCCTTGCCTTTTGCTTTATTGGAGGTATGGTCTCATGTTCTATACCGCTGTGTATACCAGCCTAGCTAGATAGCTAGCTTCTGGGGACTCCCCACTTTCCTTCCATTTCTTCTTACCTTAGGAGTATTGGGATCACAGAAACCCACTACTGCATCCTGTTTTATGTAGACTCTGGGATCTGAACTCAGGTCTTTAAGAGTTGCACAGCAAGTATTTGTCTACAGAGTCTTGTTCCTTGCCTAGGAGTCTTAAAGTGAAAAGAAACAGAAGGTGACAGATCACTTTCTGGATTTAGCCCCTATGCTCCAGCCACCAGTTTTGAGCAGGACTTGGGGAGCTGTAGGGAATGTTGTTGTCCAGTAAGAACCACATCCCATAGACTTCCCACCTACACCAGTGGAGCAGACACGCACTGTTACATTGTTTTCTGCCTCTCCATTGCCCACACCTCCCACTTTACACACAGTCTCCCCTCCTTAGAGCTAAACTACTTTAAAGTACTTCTTATATTCATTGTCTCCATTTCCTTCACACACACACACACACACACACACACACACACACTCTTCAACTAACTCCAACATCTTCCACATTCCTTCTCAGCCACATTGGGAAGTTCTATCGCATCCTTTCTGTAAGTGTATTCTTAAAATTTTCATCCTTAATATTTTTATGAAGAATGACATCCCCATAGATTCACCTGAGGCTTAAGAAATAAAATCATAATAACAAGTGTTCCCAAAGACTCCATTAGCTTCCCCAGCATTCTGCTTCTCTCCCACAGGACAAGTACTGTCCTGAGCTAGGAAGGTCTATGTGAACACAGACTCAGTTTGTCTTCCACATGTATGCTCCATCAGTTCCTTCCAGACACACACCATTAGGAGTATACCACACTGAATATGGGATTATTAACTGTAGCAAAGGTTAGGCTAACACACATGATGGAGGTTCCCAAAGTTCATGTTCACTAAGAGTGGTTAAGAAACCTATTGCTTGGATTTGGGCTTTGTTGGGGGAAAGGCCTGAAGGAGAGATTTTTCTCTAGGTTGAATGTGGGATTATTTCTTTCAATAAATCTTACCTGTGACATAGCTAAATTAAAAACTAGCAGACAAATAGTTTTGGCTGAGAGATATTTGGTAATTTATAGATAGTGGTTTTTTTCTACATGTAAACAAAATTATAAGATGACATTATTTTACCTCTTTTAATCACGTCCTCATAGCAACTTTGCTTAAGGTTTATATTTATGGTGATGGTTTATATCAAATAGCAGAATAGTGTGTCCCTGTTGTGAATGTCAGGGTAGCTTATAAATGACAATGGTGGGTTTTTCCTCTTTCCTTTTAGATTTGAACAAGCTGAGAGGGTGTATTTAGGCACAGGGAGTTGAAATACCAGCTAATACAGAGAACATGACTCAGGTAAGTGGCCAAGTGGCTTCCTAGCTTGTTTGGTGTTGCTGTAACAAAACGCCTGACAGGACGCACTGCACAAAGAAAGCTGGCTCATTTGGCTTGCTATTCATATTTGAAAATCCAATGAGCATAGTGCCTTGAGGGCTCCCGTTGCTCGGTCACATAGCAGACAGCTTCACACTGCAGGTCTGCATGCAAGAAACAGAAAGGGAAGAGGCAAAAGACAGGGAAATGAGAAAGGAAAGAGAGATCCTACAGTGAAAGAAGAAGCAAGAAGCCAAAGAGGGTCCAGACTCATGTTTCATGGTACCCTTCCCCAAGACACACACACACACACACACACACACACAATATGTATGCATTTCTTTGTGTCTCTATCTCTCGCTCCATCGTCTCTCTCTGAGGGAATAACTCAATTCTGAGTGAATGATGTTAATTTCTTTCTATGGCGTGCCCCTGTGACCTTATATAGAAGCCCCCCCCCCACAGAAGCATAGCACAGGAGCCCCAATTAGCCCGTGAGTCTGTGGGTGGCGTATTCAAACCATATTACAAGAACACAAGTACTGAACCCAAAATTGTCAGGGTTCCCCATTCAGTCATGGGTAGCATTACTACCAGTGCTCCAGTGAAAGCACTGCAAGTTTAGGCAACACAGAACCACTCTGGAAATTCCTCTTGATTTCCTTTGCTACTTATCTCCTTTTCTTGCCCATGGCATTGAAGTTCCACAGGTGAAAAATCTCACTTACCCATAGCTTTCTAGCAGCCCACGGATCCTTCTAACATCATCTCTTTGCTAGTTTGAACATGCCGCTGACCCTTGGTCCCTCTCTAGCCTTGATTTGTCTTGATTTTCCTGGCATGCTCCTGCTTCTCTGCCTAGATATCTCTAGGTACTTTGGCTTGACTCATCAACTTATCCATATCCCGAATTTAACGTTTCTGGTATCAAAACCTTGATGGTACTGTGCTGGATCAACACCACACCTTCACTTAGACACGGTGTTGCTTCCTGCCTCCTCGGAACTACCATTCACCATCCAGTTATTCTGTCTGTCAGAGACGTCCCTTTTCCCTTTCTGCTTCTGTTTAAAATCTTGCCCAGAGCCTTCTCCGACCCCTCTGGAGGACATGGACTGTCCCACCTGACTGACCCCATTAGCCCGTTTGTTCCTCTGTTACCACAGCTGCCTCGTTTGTTCACTTACCCCTTACTTCCAGCACCAAACATTAAACTCTTCCAGTTCAGGAAGACTATCTTAATTCCTTATGTACAGAGACCTGTGTATCCAACACGTGCGTGTGCACACACACACGCATGTGTATATATATGTGCACATTTCACTAATCAGTGCTTGTTAAACATCTTACTGCTAAGTATCTGTCTGTCTGTCTGTCTCTGTCTCTCTGTCTGTGTGTGTGTGTGTGTGTGTGTGTGTGTATGTTTGCACATGCTTTATAACATGTGTGTACAGAGCCAGAGGACAACTTTTGGGAGTTGGCTGTCTCCTTTTATCACATGGGTCCTAGGATCTAACCCGGGTTGTCAGACATGAATGACGAGCAAGCACCTTTACCTGCCAAGTCATCTTGCTGGCCTTATCCAAGGATTTCTGTTAGAATTTTTCTAGTCCTAAAATAACCAGGCGTTTGATCTTTCAATAAGCATATTAAGCCAAGTGAGTTATGTGTTTGTATTTTGTTTTACTGAGAAAATACATTTTTCAAAAGTGTTGAGACTGATGTTAGGTGACCTGAGTCGTGCTTTCCCTTTTAAATTACGTATTTTCGGAAAGTTGGTTTTTATTTTGGCTATGACTCCTAGTAATTTCAGCAATATCTTTCTCAGTGAAATACACATTTTCCATTTTACCTATAATTTTCACCTACAAATCATGGCTCTTCTACCCCCGCGCTTAAGGAAATGTCAGGCTCTGAGATGGGAACCAGGATTCTTGCTTTCCAATTGAGTGTTAATTTCCCTAGACCCAGCTGGATTCTGTGAGGGAGATGAGATTGAGTGACATGTAGGACAAGGTGAGATCTGGCCCTGCTTGGCTTGCAGAGTCAGCAGATTTTTCTGTCCCCTTCCTCCTCCTCTTCTTTGCTTTTGTTTTCCAAGAGAGGATTGCTCTGCATAGCTCTGACTGTCCAGGAACTCACTGTGTAGACCAGGCTGGCCTCTAACACAATAGATCCACCTGCCTCTGCCTCCCAAGTGCTGGGTTTAAAGGCATGCATCACCATGCTCAGCTTTTTTTTACTTTCAAAAGACCTTTATTTAAAAATAATTCTGCATTAATTGGACATTGCAAAGGTCCTTTTTATGCCTCATTTAACTTCCTGTTTCTACGAATATAATAAATGAAATAGAATGACAAAAGACACACACACTAAGTGCCCCCTGCCACCTTCCTAAATTTGACCTTGTAGGTAGCTCTGTTAGGTGCAAACACCAGAACTGTTTTAATGGGCACTGATAGTGTTCCTCAGCAGGCCTAAGAGGAGGCAGGTAGAGTCACTGTGGATGTCTGGGCAGGGGAACAGCCAGTCTAGAGGGGAAACAAGGCATTGGCAGGGAGTATATAAGGGAGATTGTCATGACTAGGCAGCTGGGAGAGGAAGGGAGAGTATTGAACTGAGAACAGATCATTGTTTGCACGGTTCCTATGTAAATAAGGACTCCCGCAGCCTGGCTGATTATCGCCTTTCATGGTTTCTCAGGCTTGGGTCCTTTGAAATGTCTGCAGGTTCCTGGTGTTGGTCACAGTGAAGATAGCAGCTGGGGCGGCACTTTAACTCTGGAAGTCTTTTTATCTGCTTTATCACTAAGATTAGGTGCTCGGGAGGAGACCTCAGCCTGGCAAATAAGTTGGACAAAGAACAGTTTCCGTGCTGAAGGCGTAGCCCTGCTTTATTGAACCACTAGCGGGAAGATACAGAAGTCTGTAAATGGTGTGCAACACGGAGGCCTGGGGATGTGATCCTCTGTGTCTGGTGCTGTTTCTAGCTGGACGAGGCCTTCTCAGGGCACAGGCTGTGTGTCATGGGGGCAGTCTCCTTGTATGCTTCTACAGCACCCTCTATCTGGTTCCTGACGTGGGGTCCTGTCTGACAAAGCCACACTCCTGTCTGGTGTTGTTGCTTATGTCAGTCGTGTCACTGAGTCAGAACATAGGAAATAAACGTGCGAGGGACTTCAGTGACACCCTGGTTAGCCCTCTCTGCCTGAGGAAACTGCTAAAAACCCTTCATCTCACTGTAAAGCTCTTAATGGAGATTAAATGATGTTCATTAAAAGTGGAACCCCTCTCAGATTCACTACTCCACAGGATAACTGCACTCATATCATCTTGAGACCCATTAAGTTGCTTCTAGGGAGAAAATGTCTCACCTTTCTACAGAGGAAGAGCTCATATTGAAAAATAATAAAGTAGAAGGGACTGCAACAAGCCCAGTGTATTTTCATCTTTCCCTGAGGGTATATAAAAAAGGTTTGATAGCTAAGAGACTAGTCAAGCCAGGAAAAAATAGAGAAAAAGTGATATGGTCAATAAAGTGATGAATTTTTAGATTTCCCTGCTTTTTACTAAGAATTGGATGGGAATGGAGGCTAGTCAGATGTACAGCACACCTTAGGTCCATGGCCATTTAGATCAGGTGTCCCCATCTCTATCTAATAAAAACGCACACTTTAATAGAACCCGTGGGAACTCCTCTGATCTTTAGTTCAACATGGCCCTTTTTACACAGTAAGCATTTCACACGTTTTTGGTAGTCAGTTGGATGCAGCCGTGTCGTACCACATGAACTGGAGTTGAGAAAAGATGCTTCATAGTGACACAGCAGTGCTACCTCACATATGCTCTGTGTAGGAATCCCACATGCTGGGCTGTGGGAGCCGGGGTGGGGGAGGGGTTGGATAGCTCTTGCCTCACAAGAAAAGGATGTAAGTTTGATCCCAGAACCTTTGTTTTTTAAAAAAAATGGCCATGTAAAGCAACAAGCACTTGCAATCCAAGCACGGAGGAGTCAGAGAGAGGTGGATCTCTAGGTCTTGCTGGACTTTTGGTTGGATTCTAGGCCAACGAGAGACTCAAAAAAATACCCGAGGAATGATGATCATGATTGTCTCTACACATATACAACTGTACAAACACACATGCATGTACACGAGAGTGAGTGCGTGCACATACACTCACACACACATGCAATCCTGCATAGCGTCTTTCTAGTAAGTGGAGTGGCGGGGGATTAGTGAACTTGTGGTGGCTTCAGAGACCCGTCCGTCCATCTCTTGCTTTCCACAGCTTCCTGCTATGTGGTTAGTCACTCTAACATGGGATAGAATGTTTCATTATTTTGTTCTTTGGAGATTATCCCAGTGCAGTTCTAATTTCGGCAATCATTGCAGTTTCCTGTGTCTAATCAAAGGACCGTATTCCAATTTTATTTTTCATGTGGAAGCATTTTATGCCCACCCTGAGAAGAAGCTTTTCAGTAAGGCCCATTACGAGGGGGTGATCTGGTGTCAAAAGAAGGGGTCAAAGCATCCCCTCCTTTCCTGTACGCATCCAGATGCTTGGTTGGGAATGCTTAAGGTCGTTCTGAACCCTGGGAACATGTGTGGCAGCAGCAGCTGAAATCAGAACACTGGTGTATCAATCATGTCATTTTGACCTGCTGACAAATTGCAATGCAGAAGCACGCTGGAGATTTTGAGATCTTACCCAAGTGTGATGTACCGTCTACCCTCTCCTTTCCTCCTCCCATTCCTGCTCTCCTTCACTTCCATTCCTTTTTAAAAATAAACTAGGTTGAGGACACTAAGGATATGACTTACCGTTCTCCATCAGTATCTGCAGGCTGTTAGCTTCAGGGCCCCAGATGATGACAAACTTAGGAGATGCTTATGTCTCTTTTATAAAATATCATCGTATTTTACATGTAATAAATATCTTCCCTTATATTTTAAACAATTTCTAGATCATTCATAATACCTAGTTGAATGTGTTATTTAAATGGTTTTCTTGGATTAGGGAACAAGAATAAGTAAAAATCATCTGTACATGTTCAATACAAGCACAGTTTTTAAAGAATATTTTAAGTCTGTTGTTTGAACCCAGTGAGTATAGAAGGCCTAATGTTTGATTTGAATTCTAAGATGCAATTTAGAGGTCATGGGTCAGGTCTTGGGCTTGGGGTTCTGGTGGCCATCGTGCTTTTGCTCAACTCTGTCACTGTGCACAATCTTCCTTCCATTTCTTGTCTCTGATGACACCGCCATTCTGATCTCTCTCCTACTGTTTGACGGAGTTTGGCTGCCATTGATGGAAAATCGAATTTGCTGTAATAACTATGGCAAGTGCTTTGCATGAACTATTTCGCTTTTCAGCACAAAACCTCTTCTGGGAAAGCCCTGTCATGTTGGGAGACAAAGACTGAAAGAAACCAAATAAGGTAGGTCTTACATGGCCTGACCCCAGGAACCCTGCTCTCAACCATTGAACTGTATCCCAAAGATAAAGGGTATAAGAGATATGCAAGTACTTAGAAAACCACAAATTGACCTAGGAAGTTTTATTTAGTGTCAGGAATTTGAAAAGCAAGTGCTTGCCTAGGCAGGTAGTTTGAAGAATGTAAGCAGAAATCTCTTGCGAAAGCCCCAGCCTGTGTCCAGTTCAGGACCAGCACTTCTAAAACAAGCCTAGTCTTTCTTCTGAGTCTTTGGATGTACGTGTTGCTGTTTTAAATAGAGTTCCATCTCCTAAATCGCACAAAGCAGACCCCAGACGCCGTTCTTGGGGTTACTCCCTCTGTCTCCTCATGTAGCACGTCTCCTAGTCTTGGGGATGGTGTCTACAGTGGCTTGAATGAGTGTGTTCCCCACAAGCTTGAGCATTTTGACAGTTGGTCCCCTGTTGGTGGCGCTGTTTGGGGAGACACAGGAGGCATAGCCTCACTGAAGGAAGAACGCTGCTTCCGGGGCAGGCCTGAGGAGTTTAAGACCCCGCCCTAGTCCCACTTTGTTCTCTCTGCTCCGTGCTTACAGCAAAGGATGTGGGCCCTCAGCTCCTGTGTCAGCCCATCATGGCTGCTCTGTGTTTGTTGCCTGTCTTCCTGCAATGATCGACTCTTACCCTCTGGGACCATAATCCTATATGAACTCTTTCTTCTATCTATGTATTCATGACACAAGTAGAAAAGTAACTAGTACAGTATTCAAGGAATGATTCTGAACCCCCACCCCCCCATCTCCTCTCTTCTTTAGTCCTATTGCCTTGATTCAAATCTTTCCTTATCTGTAATGGTGCAATGATCACAGATCTGCTATTCCTAATGCCGGTCTCTGATTTATTCTCATACGGTCCATGTGCTAAAAGTCAATTCTAATCATGTGGACTTTGAGGTTAAAAATTAAGATGCTAGCAGTTACCTCCTGTGAGGTTAGATTCCCACCATAGGTGTAAGAGTCCTCTGTTGTAAACCATTCCCACAGCATCCCTGTTACCGCTTATAATCCATCTCTTCCTTGATTGGCCTTCTAGGTCATCCTGCATAGCCAGGAAGGTGAAGTTGACAGGAAGTGCATGCAGTGTCCTAAGGTTGATGCAAAGAGAACACATTTGGGAAATGCTGAGTAGTATTAGAAAACAAATACATATTAAATACATGCTTTATGCTATCTCTTTGGGCATGCAAACAATAACTTCTATTTCGGAAAACTGTTTATAACCACAATACTATGAATTTTTTTTAGCTAACATCATAATCATCTCTCTCTGAGAAGTGATAGTTGGCCCAGGGTTTGCCAACAGGTGCTGGGTGTGAAATACTGAAGGAAGCATAGGCAATAACCAGGAAAGACACTCAGGTTGGATGGGATGGAACCATGACATTAATAAATATTGTCTACAATATTGAATTTTATTTTGTCAGAAAGGAATATAAAATGCATTTATTTGTTGGTGGGCTTCCTATATTTTTCTACTTCTTATTTACTTTTTTTTTCAAAGCAGGGTTTAATCTGCTTTGCCCTTGCTGTCCTGGAACTGCTCTGAAAATCAGGCTGACCTCAAACTCAGGGATACACCAATTTCTTCCTTCTGGGTGCTGGGATTAAAAGCATGTGCCACCACCACCCAGCATTAGTTTTCTACATTTTGACTCTGTTTCCATTCCTAGAGATATGGTACAAAGAGAGGTGGCTTTGTTGAAACCATTTTATAGAGTTTCTAAAAATAATTCTGCATGATGTATAATTTCTCTAATCCTCTTACATAATCACTACCTTCCAAAAGAAAGCCCCCCCCCCATTTGTGTGCTGATGCCTGCCCTGTAAATGGGAAAGGGGAAATTAGGCTGTTTACTTTGTCTTGACTAGCAAAAACAGTTTCATTTTTGACCTCTATCATTTCACTCAGCTAACGACATTCTCCCAAGACCCCATGAGGGTCTTGAGATGTTTCCTGTCCGTTTTCTCTGGGACATGGAACTAGGGACAAACAAGTTGGCTAATGGGGAATGGGATGCCAGACACTTCTCCTAGTGAAGAAACTCCTGAGACGAGACTGTCTTTCTTAGGTGTCACTGCTTACACCAAGCAGAGTATCCTTCTTAGGGGCCCTCAAGATGGAGGTGGGAAATTTTTCCATACTCACCTTTAAGTCAAAGCATGAGCCCTACCCAAGTCTGATATCAGCAGGTTGTCTGTTCTCTTGGGAGACCATGTCCTTTCTCTAGATGTTCTGGCTTCTATGCTCTTCCTTCTTTCCCTGCTTTGAAATGCACACACACACACACACACACACACACACACACACACACACACACAAAATGTTCCCACATTATCCTTTCGTTTTTTTTTTTAAATTCTGTATGTGCTAAGTTGCCCTCTCTGCTCTCTACAATGTAAAGCTGACTGCAGAAAGTCCTTGTAATATTTTAAACTCAGAAGGCCTTCCATCCTTGTGAAGGATGTGGCAGCCAGTTTTTTGTCATTTAATAGATGCCCAAGATCATCACCTCTTTGGACAGGTTGATTTTAGTCAACAGTTTTGCACATCTTGTTCGTGTGATTGTCCCTTTGCTTTGGGGCTGAGCTAAGGCAGCATAGCATGCCAAGACCACACGGTAGAATAAAACCACTAATCTCATGGCTAAGATGCAGAAAGATCAAAGAAAGGGTCAGGGTTTCTCTATCCCCTTGCAGATGTGACCTCCCGCCACTCTGAAGTCCTCCACTAGGCTCTTCATCTTAAAGGTTGTAATACCTGCCAATAGTGCCAAGCCAAGAACTGAGATATCAGCACACTAGCTTTGGGAAGGAAACTGAGAACATGGGCTTTGGGAAGCAAGTCAAATCCCCTACCTAAACCTGTCTCTTGGCCTTGAGAATGGAGATCAGTGAAGCTGCAGGTAAAGCAGGAGGCTCAACCTTTTACCAACTAACCTATGCAAAGCCTTTTCTGAGACTCCCAAAGAGGGTTTTGTGTAACTTTCTTTGTCTCTGAGTCAGCTTGTTTCTCTTTACCTTTGGAGCAGTGTTTTCTATAGTTTGCTTTGCTCTGGGATATCTGAGGCCCTTGGTCAACACTCTGCCTTCCCTTTTCTCTGCTGACATGACCTGTAGCACATTTTATGTGGAAAACAACAGCTCCATTTTGCTTCTTTCTGTGTGGTTTTTCTCTGAATGAAATTGACAACATTTGCCCAGAACTCCAGACTCCGCGCAGCACAGCATGGCGTGACTCACACTGATCTCACCTTGTAGCTGATACTTAGCACTCAACAGCTCCACCCACAATTTGTGTATGACATTGTACTTATTGTGTAGCTTCGAGCATTGCTTAGCTTGTAAGCATTGTTCACTTTTAATTAGTCCCCTCCTTGGTAATTACCAACATGAATTTCTCTGGAAGCTGTGCTGCATGGTCTCAGGACTGGATCCCTCCAGGCAATCGCGTCTCTGTGTCTCCCCCAGCAGCAAGCAGGCTTTGGCTGCTAAAGTGACATTATGGTGCATGGCTATGGCGGTGACTTGAATCTTAAGAAGAAACATAGAACACAGTGCTTGGCATATGAGCACTCCTATTGCAGCCAGTCACCATGCTCATTGACCTAGAGATGTTTTCTTTTACTTTGAAAAGAAGAATGTTTCTCAATCGATTGAAAATCCCACTTGCCAAGGCGCCTTTTAATTAAGATGTCTTGAACTTGATATGCATGTATAATCTTCTGGCTTTTACTCAGGAACACTTGAATGCTGCAGACATTGTGTCCTGGGTCCAGTTGTGGGACAACAATAACAAAAAAGACTCACACTGTTGTACTTCGATATACCATATTAGGAGAGTGTGATTTTGATAGCCAGTGACAAAAATGCGGATGTGAGTCACAACTAACTGGGAAGCAAAGAGTTCAAGCTAGAGAAACAATTCTTCTTTCGTTTGAGATGTTGGAAATGCTCGTTAATGGAAAGTTTCACCTCAAGTTCAGAAACTAGAGAAATGGGCTGCATTAGGTCGACAATGAAGAAAGTGCGCCAGCAAGCAGTTTGGATGATCAAGGCTGTTGGACAGTATAGTCTAGTGGGTACAAGCTGAGGCGGAGAGTCAGCTGGAGCTGTGCTTGGCCACTGGCCCAGGCTGTGCACCTTGGACGAGTCACTTCACCGCTCTAAGCCTCAATTCTCTTATCTTTAATTGGGATAATAAGACTTACCTCATGGGATTAAATGAGATAATGTTTGCAAAGTGCTTAGTCTGATGTCTGGCCCAAAGTAAGTGCTCACTAAGTGGTCATAATTATGAGAAACAGGAGGGTGTAGGAAGTCTTGCTTTAAGGTTTCTTGCTCTGCAGTGCTAGGGTGGCTCTTCACAGCAAGGAGGAAGGAGCAAACTAGGCAGATCCCTCTGCACGGGTCCACAGTGGACTCAGCTTGCGTCTCTGCCTGAGACATTGTACCTCTGGGAAACGGTTCTCTATTCTATCCAGGTCCCATGAGTAGGGTCCTACTATTCTGTCTTTGCACCCCATTGACTCCACATCTGCTGCCTGTGCCAACTGACTTCATCAAAGCTCCCTGAAGCCAGAGTGAAGGTGGTAAGGGGCGGGAATGGAAGACACTTGCATAGAGAGGACCCCTTCTAGCAAGTTTTCTCTACCAAGTTCTACCAGTAAATGAAAACCAAAAGCAGGGAGGGAGAAGGGTTGGAAGTACTTTGCAAGGATGCCCTGTATGCCATCATCGTGATTAATCTCTGTGCCTTCATTTTCTGATTAGCCAACCTCAATTATTTTTCCACGCTTCTCTTGTCCTGCACCTATATAAGAAGAAGTGGTATAAGAAGATTATTTAAACAAACGGGCTTATAGAAGAGGGGCTGGGGGCACCAGGGAGCTTGGGAGTCCTCGACTGAGGAGTAAGCAGTAAGGCAGTCCCATTGGGTTTTGTGTGTGCTGAGAACAGCTATCAGGGACTGGGTACAGGGAAACCTTACAGGGCAGATTCCTGAGACATCTTAAAGCTGAGTCCTGATCCTGTCAGTTAGGAGGGAAGACGAGTGAGCCCCCGGTGATGGTCTGGGTGTGTGGCCAAGCCACAGATGTGGGGACTCCTGGAAGGACACAGCAGAGTCTATGGCAGGAACATCCCCCCTGAACCCAAGGTCCCCTGTAGAGGGAGGGGGCAAAGCAGAGCCTGCTCCACCTCCAGACTCAATCCTGGCAAGAACTCCGTCCTGTGAGTAACTAGGGACCTCAAATAGTACTCCTGTATTTGGTTGATCTACCCGTGAGGAAATATTGTAAACTATTTTATGCATCAATATTTTAGAGATGCTGTTTTGTAAATACACAATGCAATGTTGTAAAACTTGATTGTAACTTACAAGTGAATATATTTACACATCTATTACTGGTTAGAAAGTCACTTCCTGAGCCAGGGAGATGCAAGCATGAGGACGAGTGAGGCATGGGTCTAAGTGTCTCTAACCACAGTTCTGCAGGGGGGGGATGTGCAGCCCCTGTGGCTGGCTAGCTGGCTGGTGAGTGCTGGGTTCGGACAAACCCTGGCTCAAAAGCAAGGTTGGGAGAAGTGGAGGAAGGTGTCTGATGTCAACCCCTGGTTCCCACACATGAGCACATGCATGTAATGCACCCACGTGTATGTGTATGTGTGCATGTGCATGTATGTACACACACAAACACACACATACACACACACACACACACACACACTGGATACCCGAAATGTGCTGTTATTTTTTTGTAAGTTTTGTGGCATGTGTTCCCTGCTGGTTCTAAGGAGGAGATAACAGACTACATAGGCCCTTCTCGATGTGAGGTCTGAGCTGTTGCTCTGTGTTAAGCAGCCTGGTGTCCTCGCTACAGAGAGTCAAAATGTGTTAGACTCTCACAGCCAGGGTGAAATGCTTGGTGGTTGATTGTCGATTCCCTCTGAAAAGCCCATGTCTCACTGAGATTTGGCTTGAGCATCTCTTAATTTAGTCAGCGATAGCTGATGTGCATCGCTCCCTGCATCCACTCCTGCAGCCTCTTTAAGGGCCCCACTGAGACTAGTGGGCTTGGCACACATCTATATGCTGACTAATGACTCCATGGAGCACAGAAACCTGTAATCCAGAAGGAGGTGTGGGAACTGAGAAGCCCTCGAGGAATCTTTCAGTTTGACGTGGACAGGGGAGCTTATAAGGCATCTGTCTGTTTTCAGATTGTTTTACCTACTGTGGAAGTACTCTCGACCTTGAACTAATAAAGCATGCATACCACACAGATTATTATGAGCACAATATAACAGTTTCTAAGGTGGTTGATGACCCTCATTTCAAGAAAAAACAGATGCAAACATGCATTTCTTTTCCTTTTTTTGTTTTTGTTTTTTGTTTTGTTTTTTTGTTTTGTTTTGTTTTGTTTTTTTGGTTTTTCGAGACAGGGTTTCTCTGTGGCTTTGAAGGCTGTCCTGGAACTAGCTCTTGTAGACCAGGCTGGCCTCGAACTCACAGAGATCCGCCTGCCTCTGCCTCCCAAGTGCTGGGATTAAAGGCGTGCGCCACCAACACCCGGCTTATTAATGCTTTTTAAAGATTTTTTGAGACAGGGTTTCTCTATGTAGCCCTGGATGTCCTGGAACTTGCTCTGGAGATCAGGCTGGCTTCAAACTCACTCACAAAGATCCATCTGCCTCTGTCTCCTGTGTACTGGGATTAAATGTGTACACCACCACCGCCCTGCGTGCAAACTAGCATCTTTGTGTGTACATGTGCATGAGAGTAGGACCTGGAAACTCTAGTGTCTTTCAACCCTAATAATGATTTGGCTTTGTCTGACGTTAATTGAAGCTCCCATTGCTTTCTTTTGTAGAGACGTTTGTCACCCTTTGCTGAGCTGTACTGGCTTCTTTTCCTGTGTTTCAGGCTCTCCCTTCCTGCTCTTAGTCTGAGTAGTTAACGCAGTGTCTTAGTCTGAGTAGTTAATGCAGTGTCCAGCAGGAGGTGTGGGGAGTGGACTAGCATGTTGATGAGTAGAGAAACTGCTGTGGGAACTGCTCTACCATGCACGATAAAGTAGAGCCATGTGTCCTCAGCAGTACATCAGAAGCGAAAGAAGACAGAACAGATGGCCCAGGAACGGTGTCTGCATGTCTCATGTGAGCACCACAGTGGACTTTCATGTCACTTCATACCAGGCACAGAGTGCTCCACCATCCTTGAGTCATGTGACCTGCATCATTTATGATAGTCACCTACTTCTAAGAAGTAGACTCCAGGGTTTTGGACAGGGTTACTCTAGAACATTATTCAATTCTACTCTGAGTGTATTAGTTGCCCACAGTTCTTGATGCTAAAAATAAAAGAGAATTGGTTAGTCAGAAACACAAGTGCAATCTTGGGCTTTGGAAACAGGTGCCGAGGCAGGAAGGACATTGAGATTCACAGGGTTTTGATGCCAGACCTTTGGTTTTTAGGTTGGAAAACAAGGCTGACAGCTTATTTGAGCCTCTGTTGCCCAAATGGAGCTGTGATGATAGCATCTTTCTGACCACATAAGATTAATATTTCCTAGGAAACAAAGAGTGTTAAAACATACTGCAAAGTAAAGAAAAAAATAATCATGCTACTTGAGAGTTTGCATTTTGTGTGAGTTTTTAAGCCTGTAATTCTATGCATTAACTCTCTACTTATACATAACAAATTATCCCCAAACCTGGAAGTTTAAAATACAGATACTTACCACATCTCACAAGAGCTTGGGAGTAGTTGCTTAGCTTGATGGTCTGGTTCAGTCTTTCATGAGGTTGCCATGAAGTTGCTGTCATTTCCACATTTGACTATGACTTCAGAACCCTTCTCTATCCCCATTGGCTGGCCTGTCTCAGTTCCCCACTGGGTATTGCCTGCGGTTTCAGTTTATTACTTCATACTCTGTCATAAATAGATGGGAAGAAGAGGGAGAGAAGGAGAGAGACAGAAAGAGAGAGAGAAATATACATAGAGAGAGAATATGAGAGAGTGATTACCCAGAGTAGAAGCCACAGTCTCATGATGGGACAAATGCCACACCGTCTTTTCTGCCCCATTTTGCTGGTTACTCACATCAAACTCCAGGTACAACTGGGACAAAACAGATGGCGGTAGGAATGCCAGGGTGCAGCATTCTAGAAAGGCCATCTTGGAATATGGCTGCCACCGTCCACACACAGGAATGGAAGAGAGGCTCTGAGGTGAAGGGGACCTTGCATCTAAGCACAGCTGACGGTGTTAGATTATATCCATTTTGGAGAGCATTTGCAACTCCGTGTAAGGACAAGAACCCTTACATATTATCCTTTCCATGCTTCCCCGCGGTGTTGTGTTTATCCCCGAGATGTGATTTGGTGTATGGTCTAAGTGGTACAGTCAGTCCTTTGCCTGGAGCCTCATTTGCTTCCTTGCAGTCAAGGAGATTCCTGTATGTTCCAGAGTAGGGTGACTGGCATGGTGGTGTTGGGGTATCCACCCACTGCTTCCTGATTCAGCAGACACTGCCCGTTTCTTTCCACCACCCCTTGGCTTCCCTGCACACGGGGGTGGAGAGGTCATGTTGAATTTACTGCATCCTTGAATAGGTCCCTTTATCACTCACAAGGCCTGTCGTAATGCCACACCACACTGCCTGACCTGGTCTTTCCATGACGCCACCGTTTTTTTTCTGTGTGCTGTGGAATCTGACAGCATTTTATCCACAGGGCTTGTTCTGCAGTCCTTCATGATGTATGAGCTTCTTGTAGACTCAAATAGACTTTTGCGGGTGTCCTATCATAACACACAGCTTTTGTGACCAAAAAGCCTAGTGAGAGGGAAATGTCAGCACCCTTCCTGATGTCAGTGCCAGTCCTGAGTACAGGAGTTCCGGTATCCACTGTGTCTCCGGGGCAGCTTGTAGGCTCTGGTCAGTTACATCTCCTGGGAGCTGAATGGGAACAGTACCCAGGGCCACCTCCATGTCTGAACAGATACTGAGATACTGCTGATTCCTGTCATTGACCCCAGGTTTATTCATTTTTACTTATTTCCTTAGGCCTTGTTCTCATCCTGATATCATAGTAGCTGGGAACAGGGCACTGATATTTTACATCTGTTTTAATGGCATTCATTTGGGGCTCAAATCACAGATTTTTAAACAGACACCATTTCCTACAAATGCTTATAAATTGGATGAAGATGGAATTTGTACTGAACTCATCGTGTTCTCTCTTCCTTCCTGTCTCTCTGTCCTGCGCGCGCACACACACACTCATGTGCACACATGTACACCTGTGTGAGTGCATCTGCATCTGAGTCTGCGCCTGTGTCAGCATCTGTTTAGTCAGAGAAGCCAGCAACCTTGAATGTGGGGAGCCGTCCATCCACCGTTTTGATACGAGGTCCCTCACTGGGACCCGAGACTCACAAATTAGCTTAGACTGGTGATCAGCAAGTTCCAGAGATCTGCCTGTCTGTGCCTCCCCTGTGCTACCTGCAAACTTTTTTACTTGAGGGCTGGGAATCAGACGCAGGTCCTCATGCCTGTACAGGAGGCTTTTCCCAACTGAACCATCCTGTAACCTGTTGTTTTATTGGGGGTGGGCTGTCTGTTCATATACAAAGACAATCCTAGCTGAAGCCAATGTTGCTGGGTCACTGTTGTGCTCACCAGAGGTCTGGGGAAGTCCCCAGATGTTCCTTGGTACCGGTGAGTTGTCAGGGCTGTTATCCACTTTCTACTTGGAGTCTGAAGAGATTGAATCCATCGATAGATTCCTTTTCATAGGCTCATTATGTCCTTCAGAAAGCCAGTCTTCAAAACTCAGGAAATGCTGCCAATTCCTATGTATTATAAAGCCCTTAGGGTTATTCTAATGGGAGGGGATAGAGCCTCACCCTCACTGAGAATATTCAGCGTGTGAGAGTCCTGGCCCTACTCAACAGGCACAGACACTTCCCAGGAGACTATGGAGAAGCTCCTCCCCCAAATGGGGCCACTCTCAGAGCTCATAAGAATGGCATTGTGCTTTATGTATCCATCAGTCCAATTGATAAGTACAGAGGCAAGATGTGGCACATCTCAGACTCGTCCATAGGGGCTAGCCGGGACCGGGTAAAACCATCAGTGAGGATGAGTGTGTAAAATGTAAGTGGCAAGCAGCCTGGTGAACACAAGGATTTCTGACTATTATAAAACCCAAGGGCCCACTTATTTTCAGCCAAGCATCCCAAATCAGTTAATGGCAGGCTTGTCTTCTTCCCCCACATCCCTCCCTGTCTCCTGGATTTCATGAGAAACTTAGTGGAGCTGGAAATCTCAGTTCTTTGTCTAAGTGTTTTAAACAATAGCGCAGTGCGACTGTGATTTCATAAAGCTGTATTTTTACTGTCATCTCGAATGTGTAGTAGTCCTTGGTAATTGCATGGTACTTCCCATCTGCAAGACAGTAAACACTTTATACACATTAAATCGAATTCTCCAACTCCTCTGCCAAGACCAGAGATTGTGTTGTGTCTTCACAGACCCACTGGCTCACCCTTGTCTTGCTGAAGTGTCTTTTCTGAAGGCGACAAAGCTGGGAAAGTGACACCCGCTCTAAGAATGGCATACTGCAGGGCTAAGTAAAATGTCTGAGTTTTCCACAGAAGGTAGACGCAAAGGATTAGTGTTTCCTGACAGTAGCAAGCAAATGCCTGTCTATCAGCCTCTGACCATCACCAGTTACCATGTTTGGTTACAGGTTAGATTCCTAGAAACATTATGTCCATTAAAGGATGCAGAATGTTGCTTCTGATGCATTGTCTGTTCCCAATATTTTATAAAGAAAAAAATTGCCGACTCTTTGGCATCCTATTTTTTCTGCCTAATTGTTCTTCCATTCTGTAGTCTGTTCACTCTGCTGAGAATTTCCTTTGCTGTGAAGAAGTTTCTAATTTCATATAACAATGGTTGTCAATTCCTGAGGCTATTTTTTTTTGTGCTTTTGGGAGTCTATCTAGATAGTTTTTGCCTATACCTGCTTTTTGTTTTCTGTGTTTATTTCTAGTGATTTCAGCATTTCTGGTTTTAATTTAATGTTTGTTCACTTTAATTTCACTTAACGCCCACTTTGAACTGATTTGTACAGGGTGAGAGGTATTGTTATGATTTTTTTCTTCTTCATGTCAATATCTGTTTTGCCAGAATCATATATTAGGTAAGATGGGTGTTTCCAGTGATGCTTGTGACAATTTTGTCAAACATTTGGTGTTCATAGCTGCGTGGGGCTATTTCTGGGTTTGTTTTATGTTCCATGGCCTGCATGCCCATGCTTATGCCAGCATCACGTTGTCTTTGTCACTCTGGGTCTGCGCAATAGATCGAAGTCCCATGCTGCAATAACTCTGGTGCCATTCTTTTTGCATAGGATTGCATGGCCACCTGTGATCTCTGTGTTCCTGTATGAAGTTTAGGACCTCCCCCCACTAATTATATGAGGAATATCATTTGAATTTTGATAGAAATTGAATCTGTACATTAATTTTGGTAGTGTAGCCAAAATTAATGTGCTGGAAAGGGGAATGCTGGAACAAAAGTGGGGAGAGGAGGAGGAAGTTGGGGAGTTGAGTGATTGGGGGAAATGAACCCAAAGTATGCAGGAAAATGCTACAGTGCCACCTGTTACTTTGCGTGCTGATTAAAATGGAAAAGGCCTGTTGGCTCACACAATATCTCGGTGCCCTTGGCTCCTTCTCCTCTTTTTCTCTGATGAGTGGAGTGCAAGTAACCTAATGAATTTCCAACACCACACTAACTAAACCTCAAAATGTATTTAATTTGTGTGCACACGTGTGTGTATATATACAAGAAAGTTGGTTTGCTCATTCTACCACATGGGTCCAGGGGATCAAAACCAGGTCCAGGCTTGACAGAAGGAACATTTACCTGCTGAGTCACCACACTGCAACCCCCAATCCTTGTAAGCAAAGGACTCATGGGTATAACTGATAGCCTATAGTTTTAATTTTCTTCTCATCTTTGTTGTTGTTATTGCTTGAGACAGGGTCTCTCTCCATAGCTCTGACTGTCCTGGAACTCACTGTATACCAGGATGAACTCAAAGTCAGAGGTCTGCCTGTTTCTGCCTCCAGAGTGCTAGAATTAAAGGCACATGCCACCACTGCCCTAGTTTTAGTTTTCTTAACCATAGTCGTAATGCATTGCTCCAGTTAAACCAACACGACTTCAATCCATTATGCAAATGTAACATTTATTCCATTAAAATTTGTTAGTGAGATTGCATTTCTTAAGTTTCCACAGCACAATAAATTGTGTTGAATGTTCCATTTCTTTGTTTTTTGATTTTCTTATTTTGTCTGTAATGACAATGTATTTAAAATAAAAGTCTTTAAAATGGCAGAATAATGTGATAACATGTCCTCACTGATAATTTAATACTTGGCTATAATGAGCTTGTCTGAGAAATTTCATTAAAAACAGCAAGGTGCCTGAGCATCAAAACCAAGATGGTTTTAATCACAGAATTATAGTAATTATACAAATCCTGAGATTTTCATCAGACTTAAAAGGCTTCCGAGGGCAAGCATGCACTTTAAACCGTGTACTAATAACTATGTATTGTTCTAAATTATAGTTGAGAGACTCCTTGGGGCCAGAGAAATTCTAGAGAATTATCAGAGAGAAAACAATATATATTAAACTTTTACAGAAAGTGGAGCCATTAATAATTTTGTTGGTGTGGGGACATTAGTCAGAGGCGTGTCTCCTGGGCAGTGCAAGAGAACCTCCTATGTGTGAGCATCAAAGGCAGCAGGTGCATGATACATTCAAGACTGGCCAGCGAGCCTGGACCATCACCATATCTCAAGCCAGAGAATGACTGCAGAACCTCTCTCCACCATGGATGGCATCTGGAGTTGCAATTTCTTCCCATAAATCCTGGGGCACAATATTAAGAAAACAAGTAATTATTGGACCATAATCTGGACTACTGAGGTTGAGAAAGGACACTGTAAAAATAATTTCATCATGCAGGGATTATTTAAAATACCATTTTCATATAATGGCAAAGTGCAGGCCTTCCTTGACTTTAAGAGACCTTGTATGTAAAGATACACACAGGAAGGTTCTATAAAAATATCCTTAAACAAAAACATTTATTTGATCTTTTAATTGGTTTATTGATTAGTTTATCGCTATGATGACTAGGATGATCTAAAAGGGAGAACACTTCAAAACTAGCGTGTCAAGAGATGTTGTCTGTGGTAGAGGAGGGAGAGAGGGTGGCCTTGAGGACATGGAGATGTTGAGTCTGGCTTGCTCCTCCTTTATTACAAGGATTGGCTGTTGGGGTGCAGTCATTCTAAGAACTACTAATGACTAAGCAAGACACAGAATCCTCATACAGGCTAGAAGGGGCAGCGTCTCATCTCTGCTCTCCTAAACCCATCCCTTTCTGTGGTGAAGTCCTCTTTGCCACTTACAGGAATGACTGGACACAGATCCCTCTGACTGTGTTACCATCAACACATTGTGCCTTCATATTTGAATCCTGGTACTTCCTTACGTGTTCAGAAAGCTCAGTGTCTATTCTGATGGCAATTAGGCCTGTCCCAGAAGACAGCACACAGGTATCCACACGTGTCTGCAGCCCTCTCTCTCCCTGCTAGACAGCTCCAATGGAGAAGTCTGCTGCTAGTGATTTCAGTGTCACTGAAGTTTTGCTTTGGAGCATTCAAATATGTGTCACCATGAAGAATCACAATATACTGTAAAGAAGAGACGAGTCAAAACATCAGTCTCAATTCTCAACAGAAGTACGGTTTGCATTTAGCAATGGTTCCCACCCATCTTCTCAGGTGCTCATGGGGTCGAGCGGTCTTGTTGTGCTCTGATTTACAGATACACTTATACTTAATTATCTGCCATAAACAATTTCCATAAATCTTGTGGGGGGCAGCCAATTGACTATTGATTGCCATAGTGAATGAGGCGTCAGTATCTTATGCAGTGGGTTGCAACTTCATGTAACTGAATGCGGGGTTAATGAGAAATTCAGCAACTGTAAGGTTTCTAGACATGCACTGAGCAAAATTACTTTGAAATCTGATGCCCAATGAATCTATATGCTTCTAGCTGTATTCATCCAAGCTGTGCTGGGAGACTTCATGGAAGTCTTGATTCTCAAGATAAAACACATGTACATTGCACTGCACATACTGTTACGCCACAAAACAACAGTGAATGCCCGAAACACCTCAGCTCAGAATTATGTTATGAATTTCAGTGTATTTATTGCACATGCAAAATCTTCCCCTCTTGTCAATACATGTTGGCTTGATTGTAGTAAACAAAGACTTTTAGTATTTTCCCTCTGCTGTTCCTCAGAATGTAAGTATCAAATTAGTGTATCTTGGATTTGATTGTGTTGAAATGCTTGGTTTAAATAATCTCTATATGAGTTTTCCAATAGGGTTTCATAAATAATGACTAAACAAAATGTTGCCTTGGGATCAGGACAACATTTTCGACAAATTTCTGAAAAGCTTTAAACAGACTTGTGCTGGTTTTTATTACACATTTAAGCAAAGTGCTTTACTTAGCATCAGTGAATATAGAACCAAAATATTGATCAATTGTTCTACAAAATGATGAACATGAGTTTTCCAACCTGCAGTACCAAATATTCAGCCAAAATCGTATTACGTCCAGTAACCACATCCACCTAATTAATATGCAGATTATGTTGTGCATAATTATGTGTGTGATCTAACAAAGCTTGCCTGAAGATCAGAATGCAAAGCTAGCCATAGGCGTAGAAGTAGGCAATGATGGCACATGCCTTTAATCCTAGGACTCAGGAGACAGAGGCAGATGGATCTCTATGAGTCCAAGGCCACCCAGGGCTACATGAGAGTGAATCAATCTAGAAGAGAAACAGAGTTCACACCTTCAATCCCAGCACTAAAGAGGTATGTAAGTCAGGAGCAGGACATTCAGAATTCACGGGGCAATTAGTCTCCAGACACATTGAGGACAGAATCCCCCTTCCAACCTTGGTAGAGGAAAGAGCTCCGGTGGCTTGGCTGTTGGGCTTCTCTGATCTTCAGTGGCTTTATTAGATCCTAGACAATCTACCACCACACACACCTGCTTAATCTTCGATAAATGTTGACATTATATGTATTGAAATAAACATATGACTCATGGTGACTAAATATTTGACTTGTGTTCTTATTTTATGAATCTATATATTTCGGGTCAGGTGAAAAGGGACCCTGAATGTAAACAGTTAAAGTCTGAATGGAAACACTAAGGGGCCCTGTCTTTGTGTCTTCTCAGGTCCCCCTCACCTTCGGCACATCAGGAAGACTATGATGGGAACAAATGAAAGAACTTGGAGGTCCCATTTAACTGGTTGCTTCTGCCTAGAAGATCTTCCTTTGGAAACAGGAGAGCCGTCTTTGTGTCATGATTGACTCCCGAAGGCAGGCCACGTTCTAGAAGGAAATGGATGAAACTGGTCCCGGGGGCTTCAGAGGCACTGGGCTCTAACCAGGAAAGCCCTTGTGTGGGGCCTTTCCGGCACCCTGGGATGCTGCACACGCTGGACGTATGGCCTGCGCCTGAATGAGGATGGTCCGTCGTGGGCTGCTGGGGTGGATCTCTCGGGTAGTGATTCTGCTGGTACTTCTCTGCTGTGCCATCTCTGTCCTCTACATGTTAGCCTGCACCCCAAAAGGCGACCAGGAGCAGCTGGGACTGCCCCGGGCCAATGGCCCCACAGGCAAAGACGGCTACCAAGCAGTGCTCCAAGAGCGCGAGGAACAGCATCGCAACTATGTGAACAGCCTTAAGCGACAGATCGCACAGCTCAAGGACGAACTGCAGACACGCAGTGAGCAGCTCCGCAGCGGGCTGGACCAGGCCAGCGATGCCACTGGCCTGCGTTCAGGCTGGGACCCTGCCCCCAAAGCCCAGGCCGATCTGCTGGCCTTCCTGCGCGGGCAGGTGGACAAGGCCGAGGTCCATGCAGGTGTCAAACTGGCCACCGAGTACGCTGCCGTGCCTTTTGACAGTTTCACCCTGCAGAAAGTGTACCAGCTGGAGACCGGCCTGACCCGCCACCCTGAGGAGAAGCCGGTGAGGAAGGACAAGCGAGACGAGCTGGTGGAAGCCATCGAATCTGCCCTGGAGAGTCTGAACAGCCCTGGGGAGAGCAGCCCACACCAGCGTCCTTACACGGCTGCCGACTTCATAGAAGGTTTGACATACTTTCAGATTTTGGGGAGTCGGAACCGGGATTAAGAAGACACTTCTGAAGGGTTTTATGAGGGAGATATTGTAGGTGTGTTGTTGAGTTTTTTATAAAAACACTTAATTTCTCTCTTTCTCTTGGAAACTACCCTAATTACAGTTCAGTTGCTCTGTCTTAGAAGAAGGTGCAACTTCATGCTTTGGACGGTAAAGCACTTGCCTGGACGGTGTGAAAACTTGAAGTTCAGATTCTCCACACCAGGATAGGCAGCTCATAGTTTTGATAAAAGACCTTGTAGGACAAAATCAGTTGGAGAACAATTGAGAAGACACCTGTTGTCATACTCTGATTTCCACATACAAGTTCATGTGTGCATATTATCATACACACCCACCCACACCCACAAAAGGAAAGAGTTAAAATATAGACGTAAAACTCTGAGACCCAAGTAGACTATGCAAGCCATTTCATTGTGTCCTTTATTCTAGACACTTCTAGGAACTGGGTTGGGCTGTGAGACCCAGAGGCCAGCAGAGAGCGAGGCATTTACATGTCAGACCCTGTTGGAAGCATGCTGCATGCACCCTTTATGTTCAGCAGGACCCCATTTAGGGGACAAGGAAAAGGGAGTGCTTATTAATTAAGGGAAGAACTGGAGCTACAGATCACAAGTGACAGAGCCAGGATGTGAACCAGAGAAGCCTGAGCCCCGAGTGTGCATCCTTAACTACAGGGTCACATGTAGATTGTCACAGCTGATGGAAATGAGAGGAGTGGCTGACTTCTTTCATGGGGGCAAGTCAGTCTGGGACTGAGTGTGTTTGTGTCTGATTCTTTAGGAGACACTCTCCCTGTCTACTTTCTTAGAAGACTCATTGCCATCTTCTTAATTGACACGTTATTACTAGTTCAGAAACATCTACTAATCTGGAACAAGCCTTTGAGAGCATCTAGTTCCATTACTCAACATCTGGATAAAATCTTCTTCAACATGGCCAGAATTATAGCTGTGTCTTTTTAGCTGTTACCTTTTCTGTCAGGAAACCATGCCATCGCCCCCAGGAGAGACAGTTTTTCTTCAGTCAAAAATTCTTCCAAGCAGCGGAGACAGCTAAGACAGTCAAGTGGTCAAGTGTTTGCATTGGAAGTGTAAGGACCTGAGTTCAATCCCCCAGGACTCCCCACCACCACCCCACACAAAGCCAGGTGTGGTGGTGTACACTGGCAATCCCAGTTCTAGGGAGGTGGAGACAGGCACATCACTGGTGCTCACTAGCCAGCCAGCCTAGTCTACCTGGCAAGTTCCAGGCCAGTGTGAGACCCTGGTTTCTACATGCATGTATCTACACATATGAACCACACGGGCACCTACACATATGAGCCACACGGGCACCTACACATACAAGCCTATCTATGCATGTGTGCCTATGAAAACATACATGTATGCATGTGTGTGCCCGTGTGCACGTGAGCATACCTGCACATACACATACACACACACACACACATACACACACAGTCCTCTGTTATTTCTTTTGCTCTCTTCATACACTTGGCTATCTTACAATTTTTAAAGTTTATATCTGAGCCATAAATTCATGAACTTTTAATATGGAATCATTTTTTCACATACTTAGAGGCAGGTAAAGAAATCACTTACATGATCAATCTTTTGGTGAGAGGACTTTTGTAATTCATGTGTTTGAGATATAAAACGACAACGCATCTCTAGCCACTCACTAGTGTAATAATGAGCACAGGATGAGCATTCAGTAAGAGTTCAGGTTAGGATGCAGCAGCATCACATTTAGAGTTTATGAGGTGCTACTACATATATTACCTTACTAGCTGACCCTCGGGGGATATCATGAAACATTATTTTATAGGAACCACTGCTCTGCCACGCTCCCCTGAGAATGCTACAGATTGCTGCCCACATACATAGCAATTTGAAAAGAACTTGATTACAAATCAATGCCTGCAGCTTGGAAAGTTTACCCTGTTGATTTTCAATCTGCCTTCATTTTTGAAATCTCTGTCTGCTTTTCTTTATCTGGTCTTGATATGTAAGGCCAGTCTTTCTTAGTCAGCAGGGACACCAACCTGGCTTTGTTTGCTCTGAGATCTAGCTATCTGGTAGAAACGCTCTCACCCAAACTGCCTGGTGTTGGGTCCATGTATAATACACAGCTGACACTCCTAGGGAGACCAAGTCACATGGGGCTTCTGAGTTTAGTATAACTCTAGATAATTATGCTCATGTGCTGAATAAATGAAGACAAAACTCTAAATATATTTGTGTGTGACTAATAGTTATAAAAGCTCAAGTTATTTAATTTTTAAATTGTTGTCCATAGCAAAGCAACATGGGGGCCATCTTTTATGGTCACAGGAAGTGAGGCATTTGGGAAGAATCCAAAAGTCAGAAGAAGATGCAGGAAGCAGAATTTAAGTTCAACATCAGGAAGAAACTGGAAACAGTGTTGCCTCAGAACTGAGTGTGGTTCCTGTCACTACAGAACTAGCTGGAAGACTGTTCACTGGGGTTGTCAATTGTGATTTCTTAATGCAGAGAGGTGGTTGGACTGGATTATGCTTCTCAGTCTTGGCTCACTTTCCTCTCATCTACTCAAAGTGAAAGAAGCAAATGGAAAAAGTCCACTTGAGATCTGTTTTATATAATGCGCTTGAGCAGTAATAAGGACTTTGCTAGGAGTAATATATTTTAAACAACTTATTTGCATTTCTAAACATAACTGGAGAGAAAGCGATTTTGTCTGATGTATGAGACTTTGGTGGTCCCAAGTTGGAGTCATTTTGTGAAAATCCATGGGAAATTAAGTTAAACAGGAGTGTTCTGTGTGCTCAGGGGATTCTAAATGAAGTCATCAAATCTGCCTGCCGGTGGGCTAGCAAGCCAAGGATGGGCTGCTTGTGGGTGGGTGCATTGGTTTCTTCTCCTATCACCATGACCAGATCCTTTACAGCTCAGGGGTTTATTTGGGCTAACAAGTTTTAGGGAATATAGTCAAGCATGGAGGAAAAAGCATGGTGGGAGGCAGATCCAAGATGCAGGTGGATACCCCTCACCAACATGTCAGTGGAACAAGAAGCAAGGAACATACAGGAAGTGGGCTGGAGCTGTAACGCCTCAAGACTCTCCTCAAGTTACTCACTTCTTCCAGCCAGACTCCACCTCCTAAAGGTTCCACAACCTTCCAGAGACAGCACCACTCAGTGGGGACTAAGTGTTCAGACATACGAGGCCCTGGGAACATTTCATGTTCAAATCAAAACACTCCTTAAAGAAATAATAAAACCCTATGGGGTGGAAGCTTCCAGGTAACGGTGGTATAAAAATTAGGCGAGGCAGGTGACATGAGCATGGGGTTCTATGTGACTTCCAACGAGACCCTTAGATGCCTTGAGAAATGTCCTGGCCCCTGTCAGTGAGAAACTTGCTGTGCATGTCTGCCAAGGCTCTTACTAGACTCAGGTGGAAGAGTGCTCTGCCAGCCACTCGCTGGGTGACCAACGGCAAGTCACCTACCCTACAAAAGGAGAAATTGAGAGCAAACACTTACAGCATCTGGTGTTGCTGTGACATCTCTGTCCTTCTGTAGAGCTTGCAGAAGGGGAATAGCACACTTCTGCCTGCATAATTTATTTTCTTAGGATTTGCTATTTGTCCCTAAAATCCAAGGAGAGCAATGGTTATCTGTGTTCAGGGTATCTTACAGGGACTGAGTTTTGTGTTGGATTCTCATTCAATAGCATTAATTTTTTGGGAGCTGTTAGGGAAGAGAAGTGGACATCAGGCTGTAACAGGCCCCTGCCTTGGAATGTCTAAGTGTTCATCTCCTCGTTTCTTTGCATTTTATTACTTATCCCTTCAGAGGAGGACACATACGGTGGCATGCTATTGTCATTTGTCTTTGATTTTGTGTTTCGTTAAAAGAGTAGAGGATGTTGGCATCATTTCACAAAACAATTTACCTTGCTAAATCTTCTGCAATCCTAGCTGGGCGGTGGTGGCACATGCATTTAATCCAGCACTTAGCAATCAGAAGGTAGAGGCAGGAGGATCTCTGTGTGTTCAAGGCCAACCTGGTCTACAGAGTGAGTTCCAGGACAGTCATAGCTATTACACCGAGAAACCCTGTTCTGAAAAACCAAAACTAAACTAAAATAAATCTTCCGCAATCCAGGTACATGACAGTGTGACCTCTACATGAGTTTTTAGTGTCTGTTATCCCAGCAGGGTTATTCTGTCCCTAGCCTGTGAAGCTTTCCTTCCTGCCACTACTGCAGGCTTAGTGGCATGACAAGAGAGTTCAAATGACTCAAATTGGGGGTGCGATGGATTCAAACTCTGATCTATCAGAAAGATTCTCAAGGTGCTAAGGTTTGAATTTACCCCTCCAAAAATTCAGATGTTGACAGTGTGTCAGTCTTGAAGGCTTGGGCACTGAGGGATTAAAGCCTCACGCCTATGACTGCTGTCTTTACAGAGAGGCTTCTGGCAACATTCAGCAGCTGCCTTCCACTTTCACCACAGGGGGGGGCCTGCATCCCTCCCCAGAGGATGCAGGATCCACAGACCATGAACCTGCAGCAGGATCACCTTGAGCTTCCAGGAGTCCAACACTGTGAAACAGTACATTTCCATCCTTCACAAGTTATCCTGCTTCAGGGATTTTCTTGTAGCAATGAAATTGACTATGAGAGAGGTACCATGAGATATATATTAAAACCAGCAATTTGGAGGGTACCATATAACTTTGTAGCAGGTTTCTCAGTCAGTCCTGACCTCCTGTCCATTACAACCAAGACTTCAGGGAGCTTTTGAGTTCTGGAGATCCATTCATTGCTTGTCACCATGTGACTTCCAGGGGACACTGTGACACTTTGCTCAAGCTTGCCTTGTCACATCAAATGCAACTCTAGGTGTGGATTTTAGCAACCTACCGGTGAGCTACATGCCAGGGATGACACTGGGCAGGAAA